CCAGGAAAACTCACACAGCGCCTTCTAGTACCAAGCTAAGCAAAACTTGTATTATAGGTTAGTACCTATAATACAAGTTTTGCTTAGCTTGGTACTAGATTGTCTAGTGACAAATGATCCAATTTAAACGGAGATAGAAATTACGACGGCTTCTGAAGCTGAGGTTCGATCCCTAGCGATGCGTGCTCTCAGACTAAAGTTGTATCCGTCAGGCAGGAGTTGGCTTAGTCGCTTCATATGTCCTTTCGCGGGATTGAAGTGCCATCTGAACACACATTTTATCTTTCGGTGAAGCTGTAAAGGCCAGCTGCGGTCAACAGCATTATAGTAGTTAAAAAAATGATCTTTTCATTAATATATACATAATGTACATATAATACACCCAGATCAATACAAACAATCATACTAAATACAAATTGTTTGTATCGTGCGAGGAATCGAACCCGCGACCATTAGAATTAAAGCGACGTGTTAAACCGCTAGACTGTGGCGGTATATAATCTAAGGACTAATAATCTTTTATATTATAGTAGGTATTTATAAGCTTATTGTCCTGATGTTTTTACACGTTAATTTCCATTTCAAAATATTATTATTTAGTTGTAAGATTAAAGAAGACAGCATTTTTATTTTCTATCATTGTAATTATGTTATTTTACAGGATCTACGCTATCACAAACACAAAATAATCACAGTCAATTATGATGATTGTGCGGATGTAATTTTATTTATTAACTGTTACTCATATAACTTGAGTAGTTAATACTAGTATATCCGTAGTTTTAGAGGAAGAAATAAAATTATGTTGATTTGTGAAATACATAAATTGGAATTCTAGAATTATCTTATATATAAATTTCTCGTGTAACAATGTTAGTTAACATACTTCTCTGAAACGGCTTGACCGATTTTTATGAAATTTTATGTGCATATTCAGTATGTGAGAATTGGCTACTATCTATTTTTCATACCCCTAAGTGATAAGGGTTGTCCACCCCTAACATTATTTTTTTATTCTTTGGGCAATTTTTTTTATTTCTATTTTTTTATTATGTGTCATTTAAAAATACATACAACCCTAAATTTTCATCCTTCTATCACCAATCCCTATTTTTTTATAGCGTTATTAATTTATATGGCAAAACAACGTTTGCCATATAAATTAATAACATAATAACATTTGACAGCTAGTCATCTATAAATATATATTGTATCTGCATCTTTTTTATATACTCTCCTTTTTTTATTATTATGTGTTGTAAAAAAGTAATTAGGTATCTGTTGATGTAAATAAAGTAAATATCTATCTAATTATATATATAGATATATATAATAAACATGGCGCCATGATGTTTTTATTTGAAGTCGGTTAATATTATATGTATAACTAGAGATCAAGATCATGACTAAGTTTATTTCCTCCGTTTTTAATCTTCTCACATTTTATATGATATTGTTATACCCATAACGTGGTCGGGCATAGATTATTTATTATTTCAAAAAAATATGAATTACTAACTATTGAATTTAAAAAAAAATATTTTCTAAAATAAAAGTATCCTAAGTTATTATTCCTTATTACTCCGCTTTTTAATATAAACAGACTATAACCAGTAAACTATATATATAATTCAGATTACAATATTGTAATCTCATCTGCTTTGAAAGTATAATGTATACACAACTTATGTAAATGTGTAATAATAAATAAATAATAGATTTATTCATTTACCAAATCATGACTAATAAGCTAATATAGAAACGTTGTTCATGTAATATGTATTATGCAATAAAATCAGTTGAATGGAGCCAAAATAATAAGACAATTTCGACCGCCCGAAGCAGTTTCTGAGGAAGACCACTATAATAACGATAAGAGTAATCTTCATAGGATTCCATTATTTTTAGTGAACTAGCCAAGCACAGTACTTAATGAGAATATATTGTATGCAATATTCTGTACACATTTATGGTTACCATAGATGTATTATTTATTAGTGTATTAGATAATATCTTATATATAAAATTCTAGTGTAACAGTTTTCGTTCCCATACTCCTCCGAAACGGCTTGACCGATTCTCATGAAATTTTGTGAGCGTATTGAGTAGGTCTGAGAATCGGCCAACATCTATTTTTCATCCCCCTAAATGTTAGGGGTAGTCCACCCCTAAATTTTTATTTTTTACTTTAAGGCAAAACAACGTTTGCTGGGACAGCTAGTAATGCATATAAATATGTCCTATAAGAATATGAAAGTTATACCTCCTGTAAAGTTTTTTGGATTATATGCATATATATGATGGTACGAGTAAAATACATGCTGCGACTGTAATTTTAATGGTTTAACCGATTTTTATAATTAAAATGCAGCTAGATATACAAATAATAATAATAATCCATCTTTACTTGCCTCAAATAAAAACTAATATAATTGCTGCTTATAATAAAAATTAAAAGTAGTAAACGAGGCAAAACAGTCTATAAAATATGACATAAATATTATTAAAATATTATAGTATATCAAATTTCTGTCATCAGTTTTATTTTGTTAACCTTTAGTAGTAATGTTATTACATCCACTTGTATACAACTCTAGCCAGTAATTAAACCAACTGCGGTGACTTCCCCTCAATTCAATACAGCAGCAGCGCCTAGATGTATCTATAGCATATACGTAATAAGTCAATGTTTGAATCAAGCCATATTTGGCACGGGCTCGTGATGGTACAATATTATTATATAGCGTCTCCATCTACATAATCTATATAGAAATGCGGACGTAATAACTCTCTTTAGTTAATTTGTGATTTTTGTTCCTTGTTTCTGTATTTTTATTAAAGTACGCCTTGAATTAAGTAGGTAACGTCTAATTAATTAAACATGAGCTGAAAATTTCCTCTCCGAATGTATTATTTGAGAAAACGGAAAATACTAATTAAATATATATATTTAAACTAGTTGACCAGCGCAATTTCGTCTGCGTTTCAATTCCTTGCAGCTCCGCTCCTATTGGTCATAGTGTAATGTTATATAGCTTAAAGCTTTCCTCGACAAATGGACTATCCAGGGATTGTTAGTAATGTGGACTATTGATCCCATAGCTAGCAATGTACCATGTCAGGTTGACCTCCACGCAGCTCCCCCTGGAAAGCATCGTGATAAATTCCCAGTGAATTAGTCACAATGGGCTAACTGACCTGTCTTCATGTTCATTTTATCATCCTCCACTGGTGTCCCGCCAGCGTAAATCGTTAGCGCAGGCGGGTGCACCATTCCATTATCATCTTTAAAAAAAATGGACTATCTAACAGAAAAATATTTTTTTAATTCGAATCAGTAGTTCCTGAGATTAGCGCGTTCAAACAAACAAACTCTTCAGCTTTATAATATTAAGTATAGATGTGTATAACAATTATTATTTCTAATTATAAGTGTTATACTGATTACTGAGTTTTGTGTATGGTCGTACGCCTCATTAAATATCTTCACAGCGTAATGCAGACGTAATAAGTTTCTAATATAAAACCGATACCGTTACTCTATAACCAATACCGCTAGTTACAATAAAACTACTTACGCAATATGTGCAGTATGTGATTATTATTGCTGTAGTATTCCAACTTGACGAGTTATTGCAATAATTACTGACGACCTCGATGGTCTAGCGGTTTAGCACACCGCCTTACTTCTGATGGTCGGCGGTTCGATTCCTCGCATTGCACAAATATTTGTATTCATGAGTATGATTGTTTGCATCGGTTTGGGTGTTTTCTATGTATAATATGTATGTATTTACGAAAAAAATATATGTATTTATAGAAGCTTTAGCTGGCTTTATTTGGGACTAGATGGCGCTGTGTGAATTGTCCTGAGATTATTATTATTGTTCTCACATTTTCACAGCTTATTATTATTATTGCATTTTAAAACTGTTATTAATTTATAGTTGTGTTGTTATATGAGTAATAGTTTAGCATTCTCCATCCGGTGGGTCGGCAGCTTGTTTGAAATTATATTATACACATAATATTAAACCACTATAATGCCACATTTACATCAAAAACATTCTGTTTTATGTATTTAAAAAAATTTAGAACGGTTATACTATTTATTTTACATATGTTGGCAAACATGAAACATGTATAAATATTGATATATATATTTACTATAAGTTATACATATGTCAATTTATATATTTTAAATTGTGGACAGAAATAGAGTAAATATAAATAAGCATTTGGCAGTTGGTCTTTATTACAATTGAATTAAAATTGAATATACTATATTTAACAACGTATTATGATTCTAAAAGTTAAATGTTTTAGATTAAAAAAAAATTGTTTCAATTGAGACCAGATTGCATATTCGTAAAAAAAAATTCAAAATCATACCATTCTGAAAAAAAAAATAATTAAAAAAAATTGGTCCTTCTGACGTCTGGATAAAACACAAAAATATTTTAAATTTCGTTGCGACTTGTAAAATGTGAACTTACAAGGATTATTTAAGAGAGCAACACACAAGTTTCCTGCTCGTACTTCTTGTGATGAGACAGCTTTCTGAATGAGTGGTAGATTAAAAAAAAAATGTTATGACTATTCAAAAGTGCTTAAATTAAGTTTATTTGAATAAAGGATTTTCTATTCTATTCTATTCTACTCTGTTACTAGAATTTACTCTTAAAACAAATGAATTTTATATGTTCTAAATTCAAATATGAAAGAGGTTTTATATCTTTAACAATGTATATGATATTCTTGTTCATAAAAGTGTATGCGAAATGTATAATTCTTCTTTTTGGCATTCGTTGAGGAGTCTACATTTTCACTTTATTGAAATACTAAATTTTAGTAGCCTTCGTCGAGTTAACCCTACCACAGTCGACATCAAGAGGGGGACCGTTCCCTCGGCAGTGTGTATTACCATTTTAGTTTCGGACCGCAGGGTCGTACAAGACAAACATACTCGTACATCACTAGTAGCTATATTTTTTTACAAAATGTGCGGGGAAATGGGTAAAGCTGTTCTCAGGGCGCTGACGGGAGCGTTACTTTGTGGATTGGTTTCCGATGCAGCATATTTACAAGTGAGTTTTGGATTAAAAATATAATAGTTAAATTTTATATATTTATTCTGACTTATTTTTTTTATTTATTTTCATATATACGTGGTGAAAGTTGAGTTTCCTAGTATCATGGATTTCAGATTATATTGATAGGATATATTGATAATATATATACTATATATGAATATATTCAATTATTTTTATCATGACACTCAAATAAAAAGTTATTGTAATTTTTTAATTTATTCTGTCACTTGATTAATTTTTTTAAAAGCTTATTGGCACGTATATTGTAGTTATATTATATATAACATAAAAATACATTAATAATTCAGATTATACTTTATATTGGTAAGTCTTCAAACTGTAGAGTTGCACAATATTCCATTAGGTAACTATTTATCTATAAAAAATTAAATCTAAGTAGAGCTTGTTTTACTCATTACATAATTGATAGAAATAATTAAATTCAATATATATATATATATACATATGAAACACTCGGACCAACATACTCATACTCATGAATACAAATGTATCATGCGAGGAATGGAACGCTCGACCATCGGGGGTCAGTCTATATAGTAAATTGCACACCTAGAACAACACACTCGTATTCATGCGAAATACAAATGCTTGTACCACAGATAATATAATATTACATACTTGTACTGTGAGACGAATCGAACCCGCAACCGCGATCCAAGTCTGTGATAAACTGCTAAACTACCGAGGCCGTCAAGTTCTTTTTTCATACTGTATTGAGGTCCGCTATAAAAGACAAATAAATCTTTATTATTATTAATAATACTACTGTATAACTAATACGGTACATTATTATCGTAGTAATAGTTATAAGAAAGTTCCATACTATAAAAGTACGAAACAAAAAATATTATGTAGCCTAATAGTCCGGCGAACTGAGCTGACGGTAGGGATGTCAACCGTATAAGGATTGAGGTAGTACGAGATTTTTGGTCAACTGTATGAAGACATCTTAAACTTCGTACAAATACGTTGTACAATATTTTGAAATTTTATATCAACACTAGCTTTTGTCCGTGGCTTCCCTCGCGTTAATTTATCATCTTAGGGATCTGGAATTTATCAAAATCCTTTCTTAGGGGATGCCTACGTCATAGTAGTTTTATGCATGAAAAGTCTCAGCCCGATCGGTTTAAAATTTACAAACTTTCATACAAACTTTTATCCCCTATTTTATCCCCTTGGGGGTAGAATTAATCAAAATCCTTCCTTAGCGGATGCCTACGTCATAACATCTACCTGCATGCCAAATTTCAGCCCGATCCGTCCACTGGTTTGAGCTATGCGTTGATAGATCACTATGTCAGTCACCTTTGAGTTATATATATTTAGATTTCAATTATTACAATATTGTAAAATCTCTTTCAAATATAAAATTGAAGTTATTACCTTGAAACGAAAGGTAAATTACTACATGTTTTCGTTATACGTTGGACAATGTATTGATGTATAGTTAAAAAAGTATAATCAAACTTAAATAGAATTGCACCCTAAGAGCTTAACATTTCTGCTTTAATTTTTAAAGCGCTGGTACCTCTCCTATCAAAAATAATGTCTAAAAGTTGTTGGCACCTACCAACAATGAAATCGCTATATTCAACAGTGATCACGGGTGCAACCTAGTTGAAACGTCGACATAGGTACCTATTTACCCTAAAATTATTTGTGTTAAGATCCCACTAAAGTTATATGAAAATGTCGTAAATATCGCTAATTTGCTAAATTTTACTCTCAAAGTCTATGAAGTGTCTCAATTTCATTGCATATTAACCGATTCCCGTAGGTTATTTCCGATTTAACCTACTTCAGCAGCCAAGAAGTTTGTTTGTTATTTATTTTCCATCATTCAGATTTTATAAATAGGACATTCATCCTCTCAGTCATAGTTAAAAATCAGCGTTTTGCTTCTTCAGTAATTCTTTAAACAGAGCCATGCTATTTTGTATTACATGCAGATTTACCCATGTTGAATCGTATTGGTTTAAATATTCTGTAACGTATACTACTTATTACTTAAATAGTATTAATACTTTTTCGTAAGAGGCTAAATATTTTGAGGGTGGCAACCCTGTCGGAGCAAACAAATATCGCTCTACCAACAACACAGCGGTCGGAGTCAATAATACAATGTTTGTTAGGGTCACAGTGGCCCATTTGTTTGGTGGGATATGTTTTTGTGATATTTTATGGTTGTACGCTTCGTAATTTCACATGTTTTTGTTGATAAGCTGTCACTGTTACGGTCAGGATGACTGCGGTTTTAAAAAGGGGTTAATCCTCTTAAATATTGCAAATTTTGAAAGTTTGTTTGTTTTTGTGTAATTTACTAAATTACGTTTAAACAGGTCGACGGATTCAAACAAAATTTGGTGCACAAATAATATTGTATTTATTTACACAGAATATATTTAGCCGAATTGATACGAGTAGGTGTGCGAATAGTCACTTTATTAACATTTGATTCAAGCGACTTTCTATGATTGTTTTTAAAAAAAATAGTGTCTCTATAGATTCCTGATAAATAGTAATTGAGGAAGAGAAATACAGTGGAAGACAGGCATCATAAGATAACATAACAAACATAGATGGTTCATGTATACGGTTACATTTTACTATCAGTAATTTAAAATTTCTGTTAAATAAAAAAAAAAAATTTCGTTCCAACCTTCACAAAATAATTTTACTACTAGTAGTCGCTTCATATTTAATTTCTTGCATTTTATGTATGATATGGAGATATATAATATGTAGTCGTAACAACACAATATTAATTTGCCATATTGCATTACGTAAATATGGGGCATACGCTGTAGTAAATTAGATACTCTTTATTTATTTGTATAATACTGGCAGTTAACAACTGGTGATTTTGAAAATGGAACATATTCATGGAATAGACACGAAAATATAATATACTAAAACTAGGCAGTATGTGTTCTAACTTTAGCTTGTTTCACACGAACTAATAAAACAAGAAAAAACTATTTTTTTTATATGAATTTAGGAATGGACGTAATCAGCCTAGAACAAAATAATTTTAATAAGTTGCATTGTATGAAATTGTACATCTATTAAATTAAATCTATAATTTTGATTCTTATAAGGTTAGTGCCAACACTTAAAAAGTATTTATGCCTTAAATGTTATGAACGTTTTATATATGAATTCGATTTTCAAATAATTTGTATTCATTTGTGTTTTCTTTCTCTTTTCAATAAATTGAAATTTATTATCTCCTAGTTATTTTATGAGAATAATATACATATATAATTCTCAGAACTGTGTATTGTTTGATGTACTTATTAATTTTACGACCTAGAGTATAGACCTCACATTAAACGGACTTAACAATCCAGTACCACATTACAATCAGCGGTTGCTTTGCGGTTACCCAAAGCGTTTAGAATTAATAACGCTAAACTGCGAACACACAATGCTTGCTAAATGCAGTCCGTTTAGACGAAAACGTATTTAATCTTTATAATATTTGTGTAGTTAGATTATTTGTTAAAATTTAGAATAATTTTATATAGGACTAGCCACCTGCCTCGGCTTCTGACGGATGTACATGTGTTATACATACAAATCTTCCTCTTTAATCACTCTATCTATTATTAAAAACTGCACTAAAATCCGTTGCGTAGTTTAGGTCTAAGCGAACAGACAGCAGAAAGGACTACATTATACTTTGTAAAGATACTTTAAACTGAAATGTTGTGTTGAATATTATTTTTTCAAAAAGGTTGAGCTATTTATTCAATTCGACTTGTTTCTTTTATTTGTCTATGACAATATAGTAATTATTGTTTGTTTAATAAATTTAAACTGAGAATGGTATCAATATTCTCTTTTCTTTCGGTTTATTTGTCTTTTATTCTTTTTGGGTATACATAAGTATACATAATAAACAGTCTTACCTCTACATAAAATGACAGGTTTTGAATTTAGAATACCTAATGTTTTTTTTTCTAGGACAATTTCAAATATTTGTTCGCTAAATTTGTTGGTGCATAACATTCAATTAGGAAGCGTTATTAAAATTGTACAAACGAGCCAGCTTTCATTTTTGTACAAACAAGTGTTGCGCGATCGTTTAAACAAACAATGAATTTTCGCATCGTGATAACATATATATATGTATGTATAATATAAATATACAATATTATAGACCACTTATATAATAATATATCCAATTTCAAAAGCAGAAGGTACTGAAGTTTACTGTATTTTTGTATTCCAGAATATTAAAAATGAGATTTTTATGAGTAGTAGATTCTTTCATTTGAGAACATTCATCTACGAATTGTATGTATATGTATGTATTAAATATTAAAAAAATAGTGTATATTTTTATAAGATGTACAGTATCCATACAAACTTTGCTTAGTTTTAAACTTTATGACGCCATTTGGTATACTATATATCAAGGTTCTTGTTTATGAATAAATGAAAAACTCTTTATTGTGCCCCTCATAGAAAGAAAATAACAATTACATTAATTAATATGTATACTAAATATAAAAACAACATAATTACAATATAGAGGTAACAATGGGCGGCCTTATCGCTAAATAACGATTTTATTTAAGTTTAAGAGTTCATTTTGGTTCTATATTAATTCAACACAGTTAAAGTATTTTTGCAAGGAATTCTTAAAACATTAGTTTACAAGTATTACGTATTATCAAACAAACAATAAACTTTCCCTCACGATCACAAAGTGGTCTATAATTTTTAGGGTTTCCGATAGCAATTCATAATTCACAAAGGGTAAAGTTTTGATATAATTGGTGTTTAAACTAGAGTTACAGCAATAAAAGGGCCTGCGAGTCGCGACCTTAAAATATCTAGTAGCAATAACTCGGCCCCTCATAAGGGAACACTAACTTTTGCAATTTTCCTTTCTCCGAGTTTCCCTTGAGCCCCTCAAAGGCGAATTACTGTTGGTTAAATTTACTCTCATTTTCGTCGGAGGCCGTGAAAGCCTGTTTTTTAGTTTTATTTCTTTGATCAAGCTCCTCGAAGTGGAAATTGTTTGAAACTTGGTCCTGGCACCAAATTGGTATTCAGTAGTAATTTCACAAATTCTCACCTTGCGGACGGGTGCCCTTTTTTATTTAATACTCCTCGTCTTCGGGCTCCCGGCGTGTTCCGTACCCGCTGCGCTCTGTTCGGAATGTTCGGATGGCGCTATAGAAAATTTGCACCGTTGTGCTAACTCTGAGCAGCGGACGGGGGGGCAAAACATTTTCTGCAGATCGGAAAGAATTTTGATTATTTCCCAACTTGATTCGAAAAGGAGGACGTGGAAGTCGGGTGTAACAGTCGAATATAGCTAATTGTTACAACTTAGACTGTCGTCTGAATTTGACTGTTACAACCAACTGCTAATAAAAGATGTTTCTCAGTTTGATGGTATTTTTTTATCTTTTATTTTATTAATAAGAAGAAGAATATAAAATTGATACAAATAGAATTAAATCTAAAATTATACCAATATCACATTTATTCTCTCTTCGTGTAAAACTATCTTATTAGTTTTAAAGAATTGAATTATAGTTTGTGTGATTGTGATATTAGTTAATTTTAAGAATAATTATTTTATATAATTTCAGGCATTCACAGATCGGTTTTCAGAACTGTTGATTAAACTTTTGTTCGAAGGTACACGTAACTATCAATTTGTCAGCCCAGTAAGGCTACCATTAGTAGCCTAATACTGCCTTTAATAATAATAATAACCCGGGATAATTCACACAGCGTCATCTAACCCGGTCATGCTAAGCTGAGCTTGTGTTATGGGTATTAGACAACAGATACAAATACTTACATATATATACTTTTGGAAATACATACATATTGTACACAGAACACACCCAGACCGATACAAATAGTCACACTCATGAATACAAATGTTTTGAAGAACTAAGGAATTGAACCCGCGACCACCGGAAGTAAAGCGGTGTGCTAAACCGCTAGACCACCGAGGTCACCTTTGCCTATTTATAATCGTCTATTTTGATCGATATTTTGTAGTTTTCTCCAAGCCTTAGATATTTGTGATCTATTGCTGTCTTTGAGAAAAGTGTTGATACATTGTATTCTTACTCCATCACAGCAAGGAAGAATATTTATTATAAGAATATTTACTAGGAAAAATATTTATGAAAGCCGTAAACATAAAAAAGTAGGTATACAAAAAAATGTCGTTTCATTCTTTACATACGGTACCCAGGACAGGCCATCTTTTTTTCATTAGAGTCTAAAACATAAAAGTACACTCCTCTTGTTTGGCAACTAATAAAATCTCCGAGAAACTTCAACAACTTTTTTTATTAAAACACCGAACGGTGCATGTTTTAAAATTCCTACCAACTATCCAAATTATGGCAGGAAAATACTGTTCAAGTTGCTAGTATACAGTCACAGCTGTTATTTAAGTATTCTAAACGTTTATGATTGTGTTTGTGGGTAATTTAGCAGTTTTACTTCCTCTGTAAGACAGTATAATACCTATATTTTACTACTACATTGGCATGTATATTAATTTAAAAAGTAGGTGTTGTTAAATTTATCTATTACAAAAAATACATCTCAAATTATCCTTTTAATAAATAATTATAATTCATCTTTGATCATTCAACTATTGGGTTATTTTTTGTTACTGTTGTTTAAGTTATACTGACAGATGGCAACATATTGTTCTCTATATGTAGCGATTTATTTCTTTTGATTTTTATTATCGATAACAGCGACACCTAACCCCTAAGGATATTTTTTCTGTGCTGTCATCCAAACTACTCTAACTTTTGTCTACCACTATTGGTAGCAGTATGTCGAGAAAATACCCAATATCACTGTACCCGTGATATTGGGTATTCAAATTATATTATAAGCATTCAAATATCACTGTTGGATGATAGGTAGAACTCAAAGTAATAGTGTAATTCAGCTTTATATCAAATACGTTATAGCTTTTGGCAGCGCTCGATATCAACGATACATGTATATTTAATATCGGTATCGTCAGCGATTTAGATTTAGTAAGAGATATTTCTGTGTTTCCTCAATAGAAATAAATAAACGCGGTAAGACCCCGTGATTTTTTCTAATTATATGTATTGAAATATATATATATAGTTTTCATAACTGATACTCGATATACCAAAACTTATTAGTTTACATCCGATAGAGATTATAAGTAAAATTATTTACAACTCATTGTAAGGCAAGTAACAAAATTATATCTAAAGTCTAGTAAATTCGAGATCAAAACTTGCACTTTCCGGACTGCGCAACGCTAGGCGGCCGTGACTGGCGCAGAGCGTTGCCCCCTCTCACAACGCGTGCGCGCACCCAGCTATTTCGTAATACCCACTGGACTTGTTTGACTCGGGGTCGAAAATATAACTTTTATAGGTTTATAAGTACTTTATTGATTTAAAAATTAATTCAGTCCTTATTTATGTTATCACTAGCTACTCGCCCCGGCTTCGTACGGTACATGTATTTTATATATAAACCTTCCTCTTGAATCACTCTATCTATTAAAACAAACTGCTTCAAAATACGTTGCGTAGTATTAAAGATTTAAGCATACGTAAGAACGGACAGACAGCGATAGCGACTTTGTTTTATACTATGTAATGATGATGATAATGTCTTCATAATGGCTTTATTGATTTAAATCAGCCCTAATTTATATTATGAACATGTAAAACAATGAAGGAAGGGCGTGAGAAGTAGCAAGAGCTTCAGCAGACAACGAATATTACAGATAACAATAACAACTAGTGGTCGCCCAGTGGTTGAAATTCGGCCATAATTAATTTAACATTCAGTCAGACTATAGACAAACAATTAAAGACAAACAATATTAATCTATTCTCAATTTGACCACAGACTAACAAATAGAAGAGTATATGCGTGTGTTTGGCTAATACATGGTAGTTATGTAATGTTTGTTTTATTGATTTAAAATATTTTTTTATGCATAACTTAATTTTTTTATATCATTCTGCAGTCAGTCTCTAAAAACTATAAATATGCGACATTTCATACTTATCCGTTTGCGCAATTTTCGTAGAAAGGGATACGAAGTTTTTGCGTATTACATTACATTATAATGATAATACAATTTAAAAAAAAAGATATAATTTACTAGACAACAATATAAACTTATAAAAGGATACTATATACAAATAGTGTAATAGAATTAGTAGAAAGGTTAAAAAGTTTAAATATAGAAAAGAAATAAAAAAAATACTTCCTAGAAATCTTGATTATTATATGGAAAATAGGTTTGTAAATACATTATGAGTATTATGAATTAAAAATTCAAATAAGACAGCCATAACTTTCACGGCATAATCCACTATTTTAATGTAAATTTATTAACAATTATTAAGTAAGTTATGTAAGAGTTATGTAAGTATAACAAAAAGTAGGTCAAGTTCGTGGTTTGTGTAACAACTGGTAACAAGCGGTCACTTTGAGAGCGGCTTAATTTCACAAAGCGTGAAAGTTGAACTTGTATAATACTATGTAACAATACATACATAATATACATATATACATATCTTATGTACAGGTTAGGTGGTAGAAAATATTAAGGTATTAAGCTCGCCAATTGTACATTTATTTTGAACTAGCTGTACCCTGTATAAAATAAAAGAATTCTTCTAAAATAAAAGTAACCTAAGTTACTCCTTATTACATCAGTGACCTGCCAATAAAAGTCCCGTCAAAATCGGTCCAGCCATTTCAGATAATAGCCGGAAAAAAAGACAGACAGAAAAAAATAGTAAAAAATGTTATTTTGGTGTACGTATCGTATTTATATTCCTATGTATCTAGTAAAAACCGGTTATTTCAAAATATGTATAGATAAAGAATAAATAAAATAATTATGTAATTTCTATATTTTATGCCTTAAAGATGATTTTTATTTTAACATTATTATTAGGTGACGAATCTTACACGTACAGAATAATAACACTGGACAATTCACACAGCGCCATCTAGTCCCAATCTCAGCAGAGCTTGTGTCATGGGTACTAGACAATTAATATAAATACATAGAAATATATGTTTTATCAATACATAAGTATTATACCCAGAAAACACCCAGCTCATGTACACAAATGTTTGTATAATTGCGAGGAATCGAACCCGCGACCATCGGAAGTAAGGCAGTGTGCTGAACCGCTATACCATCATGGCCCTCAAATACCTCAATACCAAATGAAATTAATTCAGAATGTAAAATAAACGCAATAGAATATCTAAACGAAAATGCAGGAGTAACGGCATTATGTTTAAAGAAAGTAAAATTCTAATCGCCCAATAAATATTCAACTAACCAATTAACTTGTTCCCTTTTATTGAAAATAAATAATAATTTTCATAGACACTTGTTGATCTTTTGTTTCAGCAATACGAGCCGTACCAAGTACAATACCAGCAAGCCCTATACCGGAAACCATTGAGGGAACACGAGAAGCCACAGGATCTCCGCAACGTGCCAGGAATACCAGGGGTGGACTATCCAATTTACCACGAGGTTCCCGAGACCAGATTCTCATGCGCTCACGTTCCTGTTCATCCAGGAATGTATGCTAATGTGGAAACTGGATGTCAGGTGCGTAATATTTTTTTGTTACGTTTTTATGTTTTTAACATAGGGCATCTTAGAGAGGTAGATTTCATACAATCGTCTGCATACCTATTTCTCTTCTATTTCATTCGCCAAGCAGCATGCTTGCTTTTCATGTAGCCTATAATCATCATCACTTACCGTTAGGTCAGGTCGTTATCATATATATCATTCCAGTTACATAAATATAATAGAAAATCATTTATTCAAATAAACTTACATTGAAGCACTTTTGAATAGTCATCACATTTTTTTTTAATCTACCGCTCATTCGGAAAGCTGTCTCATCACAAGAAGAACAAGCAAGAAACTTGTAAAAATAAATAAATAAATAACCCTGGACAATTAACGCAGGGCCATCTAGTCCCACATTAAGCAGAGTTTATGTTATGGGTACTGGACAACTGATACAAATACTTAGATTTTTTTTGTAAATACATACGTAATATACATAGCAACACCCAGATCGATACAAACAATCATACTCATGAATACAAAATGTTTGTACCGTGCGAGGACTCGAACCCGCGACCATCGGAAGTAAAGCGGTGTACTAAACCGCTAGACCACCGAGGCCGTCATATAATAAGTTGCCCAATAAACTATCATTGTATCCCGTGAGGAAACGTTAGTTTTATTAATAATTTCCTTCAGTTATTCATCATTCAAAACTTTAGAGCAGGGGAGTAGTTGATTTTTAGTAATGTGGACACTTGTGTTGTTGTGGACCCCCTTGTTAACAATGTACCATCTCAGATTTACTTCCAGGTGGTTCTCTTTGGAAACCATCCTCATAAATTCCTGGTGAAATTGTCACGATGAGCTAATTGACCTGTCCTCATGTTGATCTTATCATCCTCCACTGGTTTCTCGTCAGTGCAAACGGATGCACCGTTGTATTATCTTTCATTAAGAACCTTCAGAGCATACAAAAATCAATAGGCCTAATCTTGCAGACGGCTCCACATAAAGTCCTCTTCTTGTGTCTTTATTGCTGACTGCAGCTAGTTATCATGATTTCGCACCCGAGAACTCATAAACTACTCTCCTCGTGGGAATTTCCGGATATGTTTTTTTGGTTGTTGCCTACGTAATAAACCTACATATGTAATACCTACATATTAAATATAAATATCTAGCCATAGGCGTTAGGCGATGATGAATTAGTTAGATAATAAGTATAAATCTATTTATATTATATTTGTTATAATATAATTAGATTTATATATATAAGTCAAATTGTCCCAATTGCGTAAAGGTTAGTTGGTAGAGAATGCCATACGACATTAAGCGCAGTTTTTATACATGTTATATTGTACTAAGATTAAATATTAATAAATACATGACTTCTTATACAAATGACAGGCTTTTTGTATCTCAAGATCACAAAACTTTTCCAGTACTATCATCAACATTAGTTTATTATTGTTACAATATTAATTAACAATTCTAACAACAGTTCATAATAGAAATAAAATAGAAATATTCTTTATTCAAATGAAGTTAATATAAGCACTTTTAAATAGTCATATTTTATTCTACCACTAATTCAGAACGCAGACTCATCTCAAGAAGAACGAGCAAGAAATTTGTTTTTATTCTTTATTTGGTATTTGTTTATTTTAATCATTTACTTCGTTTATCTTAATTGTATCTGAAGGAACATGGGAAAAACCCTGAAATATATAAGCCTACACAGATCTAAATACAGATTGACACCTGAGGTATTACGACGCAGTTACTTACACCTGAAGCCTTGCTACAGGAAACTTACGTGTAACTGTTTTAAATAAATGTTGTTGAGAATTTCATTTTTAAGAATTTTCCGCGAAAACAAACTGCCAAATAGCAAAGTTGATATAAATAAATGAATAGTACAATAGAGTAGCAAAATAAATCAGATATGGTTATCAGAGCAAACCACTTGCAGCACTCGTTTACGAGATATACAAGCAAACGTTTGAAAATTTGAAATAATATATTCGAAATGAACTAAAATTATTTTCAGTTGCCAAATAAATAGTTTTAGGCGAGTGTTATCTGTCGCTTTGTTAAAAGAGAAACCTTGCACTTGGGCAATACGCCAACACTCCGTATAATCTTTAGCTATCATGGGATTTAACAGTAATGTATTCGTAAATGCCAAGTTACTTATGTTACGTACGTGGAGGACAACCTTTTGTTTTTAATGGTAATGCCCAATTACTTTTAGAGTAAATTGTGAAAGGATCTTCGTAGACTTAACTAATGTGTGGGCGTAAATGAGACGCATGTAATTAGTGATTGCGGCAAATATATCTATCGGATATATACTATACTCGTACGTATATATCGTATTTCTTCACTTTACCATTACTGAGACTAACCTAACTTTTAATAAAACTACATACATAATATTCAATTGATGATTCCAATGATATTGATTATATCAATTGGAAAGTATTTGTTTGTTTTTTGTTACCTTATCAGGGCTAAATGGCTGAACGGTTCTTAATGAAATTTTATATGAAGACTAGCTGCACTCGTGACTTCGTCTGCGTGGAATTTAACAAACACGTTATTAGAGAATTTTTCTAAAATAAAAGTAGCTTAATATATCTCCTTATTACATCAGTTACCTACCAACAAAAGTCCGGTCAAAATCGGTCCAGCCATTTTAGAGATTAAGTGGAACAGACAGACAGAAAAATTGTTGTTTTAGTGTATGTACTGTATTTACATATATTCATATGCATGTAGTAAAAAACGGTTGTTTCAATATTACAAACAGACACTTCAATTTTATTTATATGTATATTGTATTAGACATGTATATTGTATCTTAAGGACGGTGATAGGCTATCTTTGAAATAAAATAATAAATTGAAAGGGGTGAAGAAAGGGGCGAAAATTTATTTGGACAACTGCGGTTAAAAAATATTTTTTCTATATTCTTCATACCAAAATAAACCAGCAAACACATGCAATTTTAAAGCAGAGAAAACAATCAATTTAACAAACAAGAAGACTACAAGGAGGATAGGATAAATTAGGTTACGTTTACATTTAAGTTATAATTGGAAATGTCATCTATCGTAAAACTTTTGGTAACTTAAATCAATTGCTAGAGGATTTTATGTACGCCTATAATGATTGTGTCAATTAAAAATAAGGACTGTTTAATGGTATGCAATTATCGCTGTCCATGAAGTTTTGCGACATCAAATATATCTCTAGTACACATGCGCAATGTACCTCGTTCCTTAAATTGGATAACTTCTTGGGACATTGTTGTTATTGTAAAGATTGTTACACTAACGCATGTCGCAATTTGTCAAAGTTTAAGAAGCTATTATGCATCTTTTTCCACTATTAATAACGTTTTATGACAACCGTAATTATATTTAAAGAAAAGAAAACAGTATATTCTTAAGAGACCCGTAACAAGTGTAAAATTACTTTTATGTAACAAGTGCCCATTACGAAGGCATTCACTTGAGTGCATGTTAACATGTGTGAGATTTTGTTTTTTCAAACCTATATTTGTGACTGCAGATATAATAATGACAATTAATACAGCGCCATCTAGTCCCAGCAGAGCTTGTATTAACGATACTAGATAACTGATATAAATACATAGACACACACAAAACAATACATATAATCATACTCTTGAATACAAATGTTTGTATCGTGCATCGAACCCGAGAGCATTTGGATGTAAGTAGAATATGATTCAATGGTGATATTTGATAATGTATAAACAAGTGTAAATGTGGTAATAATAAATGTACTTTAAGTAATTTATGGACCAACAGAAGTAACAAGTATTGTTTTAATAAGCATTGCTTTTAATTTGCCAAGTACATTGAACGAAACTCATGACGAGCAAACAGTACACTGATATTAAAACGGTTTTCTTTTCTTTCACTAGCCCAAGAAAATGTTGGATACCTTCCAACGTTTGTTTGCGTTAATGTGAAAGGATCCTAGGTCAAAATATTGTCTGCTGTTAATTACGCCAACTATCTAAGAAAACAAACAATATTTGCTACATATGAACCGTATCTCTGCCAGACCAGATTGTTTCTGTAGTGTAAACATTATTGCGAAACGATGTCGGGATCGTGACTCGTCGCTCGTGAATTTAATCTGTCCCTCATTCAGAGATGGAATTATTCATTAACCGTACAATGAGTACACAGTTACTATAAACAGTGGTAATAATATAAAGTTACTTTCTAGGGCTTCACTGTGTGTTGGGAAATATCACCATTAATATTTGCAGAAGAATTAGCGTCCTCTTTCATAACTAGTAATGCGATTCTAGAAATTATTTGCAACTTCCTTGTCTCTTTTTTCCGTAACGTAATAGTAACTATCATAGTTATGAAAATAGGTTATATATAATGAGAAGCGGTGATGACTTATATTTTATTTTATTATCAAATTTGCTTTATTTTTAATTGTAATAATGATACTGGTATACAATATAGTTCCACTGAGCCTAAGTCAGTTGAACTGTATTCTCCCATTGTATTTATCTTATTTTTTACAACGTTTTATTTAAACAATTATTTCTTAATCATACAATCGTTTGAACGAATCATATTTTTACATGGAAGATAATCCTATGATCTTTCTAATTTGATACAAAATGTAATTATTTTTAAATGAGTATAATTAATACAAATTTAATTTAATTTTTACATAGACGAGACTTTCTTTAAAACGGAATAAGGAATTTTTACTAAGTCATATTACAGAAATTAGTAAAAAATGTTTATTTGGAAGTAAGTATCGTCATTATTCTAAATTCAATTTAGATAGTAAACTCTAGAAAACTTTTATGATACCAAGGCAAATGATCACCGTGCAACTAAGTAGGTACCATTATCGCCACATTCTGACTCTCTGAGTATATGAGTGAAACATTTTTGCTACTGTGAACTTTATGTTGTATTAGAGAACATGCTCGTTTACTTTACTTCAAGTACACTACGTGC